GTGTGTGTGTGTGTGTGTGTGTGTGTGTGTGTGTGTGTGTGTGTGTGTGTGTGTTTTACAGCCTTTTGTTTCCACTCCCAACTATTTTTTTAAACTATTGTTACTATAAACCTCCAAATTAGTTTATTTTTTCCTAAAATTTCAAATGTCTTTTTTTAAACATGAGATTTGTTATTTTCCACTTTGAATAATGGGTTTGAGATTGGAAAAATCCTTACATTCTGTTTTTGTATAAGTTTTACACATCTCCACTATTTGGGTTTATAAAAAAAAAAAGATAATAATAGCACCTGGTTCAAGTTCAAAATGGTAAAAAGTCTGAATGCACTGAAAGGTTCCCTCGTGCCTGCAGGTGTACCTGTATATCCAGATGCAGCTGTGCCGAAAGGAAAACCTGAAGGACTGGATGGGTCAGCGCTGCTTAAGAGAGCAGAGAGAGCTCAGCCAGTGTCTCGACATCTTCCTGCAGATCGCAGAGGCTGTCGACTTCCTGCACAGCAAGGGTCTCATGCACAGGGACCTGAAGGTGCGTACTTAATGAAAAACACTTATTTGTTACAATTAAAGGCAAAATTGGAGGCGCAGGTTATGGATCAAATATCTAAACGCGCTGATTGAGAAAAAGAAATGCACAAACTCATGCAGCATTGTGAGATCTCACAAGATGTGCTGGAGTTATAGTGTGATTAGCTGTGGTGCTCATGTTGAAATGATTCAGTTATAGATGTACATCCAGGGTTTACTGTGAGGATTTCATTAAAATCCAGCTGTAAGATATTTTACTAACAGACAGACAAATGCATACACAGACTTGGGCAAAAAACACGAGCAGTAATTTAACCCTTTCTTCTAAAACTTATTAATAGAATTAGTTTGTCTAAACTTAATTATTCTCTCTCATCAGTCTAATTCTACAGAAAATGTTAAAACCTGTCAGAGTAACAGAAGCTCAAGTGTTCTGCATAAGTCCTGTTTTGAATGTTGACATGTTGTGTGTCCCCCTCCAGCCGTCCAACATCTTCTTCACCATGGACGACGTGGTGAAAGTGGGGGACTTTGGTCTGGTAACGGCTATGGACCAAGAGGAGGATGAAGATGATCAAAGCACTCTGACACCTGACCCACTCCTCACCCGGCACACAGGCCAGGTGGGCACCAAGCTCTACATGAGCCCAGAGCAGGTGAGCACATATTACAACACATATCGTGTTAACAAACATGAACTGCAGTAACTTTATATATGTTTTATTTTGTTTTTGCAGCTTTCTGGGAACTCGTACTCTCATAAAGTGGACATTTACTCTTTGGGTTTAATCCTGTTCGAGCTGCTTTATCCCTTCAGGACTCAGATGGAGAGAGTGAGGGTGAGTCTGCAGACAAACACTTTATTTCCTAGTGTTACTTTATTTTACCTTCAGAAGAGATGTTTTCTGGCACAAAAAGTGAGAGCGTTTTTTTAAGTGGCTAGACAGTGTATTTTTTAATTACATCTAAATATGTCTCCTCATAGATTATTTTGCCCCCAGTATTGATCCAGATCATTTAAGATTAAATATCTGCTGATAACGAGTCTTGGACTGATACTGGCGTTTCAACATTCAAGTAAATTTTGTTAAAAGGCAGCTGTTATTATCTTAAGGGAATAGAAATGTTTCAGAAACCTTTGGTTCGTACGAGCCTGAAGGAGCGATCCACTTTAATCCAGGGAATAAGATTGTGGAACAGCATGGAAGATGAGGTTAAAAATGCCAGATCCTTGCATACATTGAAGAGAATGATAAAAACAAGTATTCTGAAGAAATATGGAGAATTATAAATGAATTTGTGCTAATTGCTTTTTGAATTGATGTCTTTTTATTTTTATTTTTATTTCATTATTAAATGTTTTAGGTTGTTTTGATTTTTTGTTGTATTTTTTACTTTTCTTTTGAACAAATTTTGGGTATAAAAAAGGGGCAGATGATATAAGATTTATTCTTCTTCTGCTGCCTTTCATTTTATTTGATTTTATTTTGACTGCATGTTTTTCTGTACTTTGTTAATCTGTGTTACAAATGAAATGAGTAAAGAACTACTACTACTATTACCATAGTAGATTAAAAGTAAACAAAACAAAAAACAATTTCTGCAGAAATGCAACGTAAACACCGAGTGCTGAATGATGTCTTTGATTAAATTGATAAAGAAACTGAAACTGAGCAGTTATCAGAGAAAAAGCTAAAATTAGCTAAACAAAATCTAAAACCTAAAATCACCAAAACCGTAGTGAAAATTTCAATTAGCAAAACATAAAGCTAAAATGTAAAACCAGGAAGACAGTAGCTGAAGTGTAAATCAACTAAACAGAAGCTGAATGCTAGAATTAGGTACATGGTAACTAAAAGCTAAAGCCAGTAAAACTCTAATTTAGCAAAAAGTAGCTAAATTAGCAATAATAAGCAAAAAATGAATTAAGTTTTGTATGGCACAGATTTTCAATTATTTAAGGTTCTCAAAAAAATTATTCAAAAAGTATACATGTTACAAGAACCAAGAAGCCATAGAGATAACTATAAATAGGAAAACATGATTGTGAATCTGAGAAGTTTTTCTAAAAATGGATTTTATTATGAACAAGAAAAATAAAAGCCAGGCKTTTTGTTTCTGTCTCATCTGATCACAGCACTTCCTGGTCAGCTGGTAGAGAAAGGGGCAGAAGACTTTGCTCTGGCTAATGGGTCCTGGTTCTTAACGACTTTTTAGGTGTATGTATTAGCCTTAATGATGTAAAGAGAGAGACAAACAGTGGCAACGCCTATTATGCATAAAAGCACGAGTGTACGTCAATACAACACACACAGAGCGTTAGCGTAGCATGAGGTTGTGTAATGTCGTGGTACTGCTTAGTAACTTTTCATGTGAACACGTTTAGTTTCCACATTAATCCTACATCTATTTCAACGAATAAATCAGCATGTGCATAACCTCTAAATGAGCCAGTAAGAGCTGCTATCAAACATGAAGCCTTTGTCTTTGTGATTAGGGACTCGTTCAGTCATTAGGGCTTCTTCACTCACAGGTGTTTACATTCTTCCTTTCAGACACTCACGGAGGTGAGAGAGCTGCGCTTCCCTGAGGTTTTTTCCAAAAACAACGCTGAAGAGGTGAGTGGTCATCTGCTGCCATCTAGTGGCTCCAAATAGAAATGCCATTCCAACCATAATTATGCTGTGTAGAGTACCGTTTTGAAGAGACAATTTTTTGAAAAGAGGATCAAAGTAAATCTCCCGGGTTTTTCTAGTGACCCTTTAAATAGAAAAGCTGCCATGAAGAACATTATTTTATCTGCCCTTCTTCCAAATTTGATAATGATTTGAAACGTTGAAGTGTGTGGTTTTTTTTTAATCCAGAATAGTGCTTGTTGCAAAGTGTTTTGACACTCGTCTTCATCACTTGACACATTTAACACGCTATCATTGGTTGAGGAGCTTTGTTTACAAAACACATGTCCACATGGTTTTTAAATTGTTTTAATTTCATTACTTTCTAAGACACATGAAGTTGATTTGATGCCGCAGTTTGCCTTGTAATGTTATTTTATACCCTTTCTGCTACTTTTGAATWGGCTGTTATTAAGTTTTATTTGTTTTTAGGATACAAGACGCTTCCTACAAAAACAAAATGTGAATCTTTTCCTAAAATTTCATAGCGATATCTTAAACACTAAGTAAGTTATAAACAAAAATAGAAAACAAGAAGGTGAAATGGTCACACATTGATTCTGCTGTGAACTGCAGCAAGAAAACATGAGCTTATTTCACCTAAACAAACAATAACTTCCCTCATACTTCAGATCATCACMTGATTTTGGTGTTATTTTGTATGGTTTGAAATATTCTTTTGGAATCCGCTGTCAGATTTAATGCATTTTGGAGACAGTGCGCACAGTATTTACACATACTAACTCTAAATACGCATATATTGTACAAATTAACTTACTTTTTACACTGTTATGAAAATAAGCATACAAATAACTGTTCAAATATTCATAAAATAAAACATAAAAGTAAAAACTTTCATTCACAACAGTGATGTGCTCAGATACTCCATAAATTACGTTACCTTTCTTCACAAGAAACCGGTTCCTCGATGTCTTCTTAGGTCTCAAAATCATCCTGGAACCTCCGCGGTGGCTTGATGGCTCTTGAAGAACATCTTGCAGACATTATTCTAACAAAATATTTCCTCTCTGCTTCGGAAAAAACAYGCAATTGCTCATAACTTTCCATTGCACTGCACCACCGAGTGTCTTTATTTACCGGGCTTCCTGCAACCAGTCACGKGATATTACCGTAAAACTCCTTATTTTAGCGAAAAGCCCAGACTCCTGGCTTTCAGGAACCATTGGAATTTTTCAGATTGCACAAACGGTTGAGAACTTACGGTTTAAAAAAAGAGATGACAAAATGTGCTGACAGGCTGCGTGAAATGAATTAATGGGGCGCACTTTATAAATATGTTTTAAACTTTAGATTTGGGATAAAATATCAAGTCTTTTCAAGTAAACAGGTTCAAGTCCAACTCAAGTCTCAAGTCATTGGTGTCAAAGTCAAGTCTAAGTCTGAACGTTTTTTCAAGTCAAGTCTAAAGTCTTAAAATTAATGACTCGAGTCTGACTCGAGTCCAAGTCATGTTACTCGAGTCCCCGCCTCTGCAAAGTGGCACACACCGGAGTAAAGAAAGCTCCCTTTTTATATTAATACCAGTTTTAAACAACTAGTTTTGCACATTTGAAATAGCACATTTTAATTTCACATCATAAATCTTTAGGTATAGTGTTTCCTTTGAACACCTTGTTTGTGGGACTCAAGCCTTCAGAGTTTAGCTTAAACTTGTTTACAGTTTTATAAGATTAACATCATCCTACAGTGCAATCTGGGAAATCTGGGAAATTATTAACTTAATTTCTGGACATTTATGGTTTGATTTCTTTGTATGTATGGATCACTTGGGTTGTTACCGACATCTGGTGAAAATTTCATGTCATTAGCACCTCTAGTAATATATTTACTGAGAAAAATGGTGACGTGTTCAATACTTATTTTACCCGCTGTACCCTGTTTCACTCAACCTTAAACTACTTTGCTGATTCTCTGATGATTTACTTTGAATTGTGCTAAGTGTTTGGATAAATCTGCATCACTGTTTGTATATACATGTATGCCTTGTATCAACCACATACTCTACGGTATTTTATGAGATAAACCAACAGAACTCATAATTGTGAGGTTAAATGCAAATTATATTCAATTAAAAAATTTAAAAGCCTCTTTGCTTTGATTCCCCGACTACAATTCTGAGCAGCCATTTGTTTTCAAAAGTCTTCTAATTAGCTTACATGTGAGTTATTAATTWTCAGTATAAATCCAGCTGCTCTTGGAGGTTTGCTACAGAACATTAGTCATCAAACAACATCATGAAGGCCAAGGAACACACAAGCCAGGTGAGGGTCGAAGTTAAGGTTTGTCACAGGGTTAGGTTATAAAACAAGTTCAACTCAATGTATTTACTTTGTTCTGGTTTATCACATAAAATCCCAATAAAATACTTGAAAGTTTATGATTATAGTGTCATAAAAAGGGTAGAAGTTCAATTGGTGTTAATATTTTTTCAAGACACTGTATAATTTATCATAACTAAGAATATTTGAATTGCTTGGTTGTGTGTGGCAGATCTTTTTAGACAAACTTTCATGGTATAAGTGGTTTTAAGTACCTATTGTGTTAATTTGGTCATGTTGCATGAAACTGCTGCTTGAACATRTGCCTGTGTTTTGTTTCTCCTGTGTGAACAGCTAAACATGGTCCGCAGCATGCTGTCGCTGAGCCCCAGCGAGCGACCCGAGGCAGCAGACATCACAGGACTGGCCCTCTTCGAGAACCTAGAGCTGCCCTGCCGCATCGCTGTAAGGCAGCGTTCTCGCACGTACAGCTCCTCCTCGATGGGCCGGCCCGCGCGCCAGACGTCGGCCAGCTGAGAAACAAAAAACACAAAACGTGCGTGTGTCGCAAGGCTCTCCTGGTTTGGGGTTGCCCAACGCATTCTGGCTCTGCACCAAGAAAAACGGCTAACCAAGCACCGCGACTCAGCAATCCCATTATTAACACAACAACTTGCACAGATAAAACTCGTCATGAATTATTTTACTGACCAATTTTTATACCGAGTGACGAAAGTGGCAGTCACTAATGTTTTGTACCAGACTTGGCTTGAATTGTATACTTCAGTTACCTACTTGTCTGTGGACATTTCATGTTTCTCCAAGCAACAGTTTGAAATCTGATTTGATTCTGATCACAATGTGATGCTTGGTCCTAAGATTCAGGCGCTCGGTCAACCCAGGAGGACACTCCGAAGGGGCCGTTGATGCTTGATTAACCAGTGACTTATACTGGATATTATGAGCACTAACTGTTGTTTCGACACTCAATATGCCGGACTTGGTGAACCAAAAAAAGTAGGCCATCATTTTGTAGTGCTTTGAAATTACTTTGATTCCCATCCATCAGATGAGACTTGCCTTTAGAAACGGGCCATTAGCCCGACCCCAGTGAATGCAAACCCTTTTGACTTGTTTTTTTCTTCTCTTTTTCTGCATGTACATATTGAAAATGAAGGGGTGAATGTGTTTAGTTTTTTTCTCTGTAAAGCCGTTAATTGGATGCAGTTTTTCCGCAGTGTAAATTTACCAAATGACTCTGAGGTGCTTTAACATTTTCTAGCTCCGCCTCTTTACTGAAGTGAGGGACAAACCTTGTTTATATTCTTCACTTTGTTAATTTAGACAACGATTTGGACTTGTACATACTTGTAAGGCACCATTGCTTGTAAAAGCTTCTTTTTCAAAATGAAACTGTAAGATAGTGTGAGATACTGTGAGAGACGGAGGTGATTTTTTTTTTCTAATAACAGATAGTTGAATGTTACAGTGTGACCCACGGAGTCAGATGATGGTGGTCATACCTCTTTTTTGAAATTCTTCTCAGTGTTTACTTTCACACGTTTGAGGAACAAAGATGAGAGCTTTGCCCTGCTTTGAAAACCAGAGGGGGAGTTTGCAGGAACCAGTGTGCCATTTGAAAGACAGCTAAGTGTACTTTTCTGTAACCAATAATCCATTTTGGATTTTTGTCTCCATACTGTCCTGATGGTGTTCCCAGGAAACATACACACAAATTCTAAGGTCTGCAGCTCTTCCATGTTACTAGGAAATAGCATTTAGATGAAGTCAGTACTGTGTCATACCCTCTACACTGTGTACAGGGAAYCTGGACCTGGTGATGGTTTTGTGAGCCGCACAACCATTGTTTTATGTGCACTTGATGTGCTGGGAGAGTCATGTGACCCAATAGGAACTACACACACAAACTGTTAATTATAATTGTGTTTTCTATGATTGTACTTTTCTAAACTACTTCTCTTTTTTAAAGCACTTTTTTTAATTCTGCTGTTTATTTTTATTTTTATGTAACCTTAGTCTTCACTGTGTCCGACGCAGGAAGTCAAATTGATGTTTGTTCCTCCCACTCGCTCAGCCCACAGAGAATGAGTCATCTTTGTAAAATTATCAGTTCTCACCTTGCATATTTAAGCAAACTGTACTCCCACCAAGGTAAAAACGGAAACTGGAGGTCTTGAGTAATCCTCATCATGGTGTGAAAGTGTCTGCTGTAAATCTGAAAATAATTTTCTTTAAGAATTGTATGAAGCTACTTTTATTTAAGTTTTCTTTGGCGTATGATACTGTTTTGTAAAGTTAATATTTAATCTTTAAATGGACGGCATGGTGACTTTTGGAGARTTGTACCTTACGAGTGATGACATGAGTCATGGAGCGCAGAGTATGAAGAACTGGGAAGAAGTCTTCCTCCAGGCAAGGCTATTAGCTAGTCAAACCAGGGGACTCTTTAACATTATTTTTTCTTTTCTTTTAAAACAACTCATGTTCAAAAGCAACGTTAGGTGTGAAGGAACGCTACATTAGCTAATGGTACCCCTACACCAACCAAACAACATCCATGTTACTTTGTGAATGTCAGGTTGATGAATGTATCAGTCTAACAGGAGCTGAGTAAACCTTTGGACTGACCAGACCATAGACATTATATGACATTATYAGACCAGATGTCTCTACCATCTCAGGATGTTGAATATTGGAGCCAGCAGGACACGGTTTATGTAAGCTGCCGTGTTGTATTTTTGGGACCAGAGTCGGTGCACTGTAGATGTTGGGGATTAAGTCCCACCCACTCCCCTGCTCACAATCGTAGTGTTAAAAGACCTTTTATTAAGGATGAATTATGTAATTTCAGCTAAACCTATTAAATAAATAAAACAGCAAGGTACTMCGCAAACCATCAAGAGTGAACACCTGAGGTGTTTGGTTTTAGCAAGGGAAACGTTCCATTTGTTTACATGGAGGGGGTGGGACATAAAACCTGAACTGGCACCAGCTTGCGAAGGAGTTTGGCTTCAACGTCCAGTTTCTGGTCCTAGGCCTAAATTAGTGGTGCCCAATCCTGGTCCTCCTCAAAGACCACTATTCTGCACTGTTTAAATGTATCTCTAAAGCAGGGGTGGGCAATCCTGGTCCTCGAGGGCCGCAGCCCTGCATGTTTTACTTTTTTCTCTGCTCAAGCACACCTGATTTGAATGAATGGGTGATTATCAGGCTTCTGCAGTACGGAGGACCGAAACTGACAATTAAAAATAAAAGCGGAAATATATGAATTGACAAATAAATACACTTAAAGTGCACCAATAAAATTCAAAAAGGAGAATTTTATTTAAAGTGTATATATAAGACAGCTAAATAAATAAACACAATTTAAAATGTGCAATTTAAATACAAAAGGATAGCTTTACCTCTTGTTTTGTAATTTAATTGACCTTCATATTTATTTTTCCAACTTAGTTCCAACAAACATATTTTTCGCAAAAAAAGTAAAATGTAAATTATGTG